TTGCTCTCTTGCTGAGAATTTCAGGCTGCTGTCTTCTGCTCTGCCTGAAGCCCAGACTCTGTTTCTGTAGAAGGCACAGTTCAGGCATGTTTGTACCCAAGTTTTAGCTCCCCACTTCATAGGATGGATAACCACAGAAAACGGACATCTTGACTTACTGTGGTCTGGGTCTTATGACTTACACCTAGTTTTATTAGCAATTTTTAAAGGATAAAAAGATGAAAGAAAGGCAGTTTAGGTTCTAGTACTAACAGCCAAATATACTCACAGAGGAGAAAAGCCTCTATGAAGTCTCAGAAGAAAAGAGCAGGAATTTGAAACATCCGGGGCTCCTCCATTTTGGAGTTAGCAGTAAGCTCCTTTAAAAATCCAGCCTTTCTACTGAGGTGAAAGAGAATATCCACTGTTGCACTTGATGAGGTGAAACCAATATAAATTAATTATTATTGGCTGTTGTCCCATGGACACTTTTCACCTAAGCTGTGCAATTGGCTGTGACTATGATGCCCCTGGTCTGGGGCTGGATCTCACTTCTTCTCCATCAGTACTGCCTACTTTTCTCCCTACTGCATGTGGAAAGGCTTGTTCCTGGAAAGCCATGTATTAGTTTGGGAAAGAAAGGGGAGTTTCACCTGCATCCTGGCATTTAACCCATATGACAGACCAAGACATTAAAGTAAGCAGTAGCTTTCTGTTACTGTCTCAAACTGTTCTTCACATGAGATGCCGCAATATGTATTTGAAAGCCCTATTATATTTAAATTGCTTTTAGAGTAAATATCTGGGGAATTTACCTTTTCCTTTATCAGCCTAAAACAGCAACCATTTAAGAAAGCAAACCTAACGGTGCTGAAGGCTGGAGGCTCATGTCATCAGTGCCTACAGCCCTCAGGGACCTCAGTAAAGGGCACTTGGTTGGTGATGCTCTTTTCTGTTTCTGGGCCCCGAGAGACACAGTGGCTGAAGAATACAAAGGGATTTAAACAGATGATGCTAGTTTAGGTGCCTGGAGCCAGTGCTAAAGGGATCATTTACATTTTTCAAAGTCCCTGCTAAGCTATAGCTCACTCAGGCAGGCACTGAAAAGCCTTGATTTCCATGGCTGGTCCCAGGGAATACCTGGGGTTAGTAATGCTGACTACAGCAGAAGGGGTAAAGCAGAAGTTTTTTCATATTAACTCTCCAGACAGGAACTCATGCTCTGCAGCATGCTTTCAGCTTTAATTCTTGCCAAAGTGTTTCTGGATTATTTCTCCAGCTAGGCAAACACACTTGGGCCATCACTGCATAGAGCAGCTGGCCCATGGTAGGATTACTAAAGGACTTTAACCTGTCTTGACAGAAGAGCTCAATAGTTCTAGAAAATAATTGTCTGGCTGGTCTATACATGCACAATGTTGTGAACAAGGTGTTTTACAACGGTGCTCAAACACTTCATGTGCCACCAAGGAAATAAGTTACTTTTCCCCTTCTTTTTTTGAACCTGATGACCCATGATTTGATACTGAAAGTCTGTAGCTTTCCCTAGCTAGACTTGTCATGAGACAGCCTCTCACTTTTCTTCTCTCACTAGAGTTTCTGCAGTTTTAGTTTTAGATATTTCTAAAATATTTACCAAATTCTAGCAAAATTGATTGCTGGGGAAAAAATAGCAAAAGACAGTCTGTAATAGTTAGAGAATATTAATGCAACACAAACTTGGAACACCTTATTATCTGCATCCAGAATCTAATTCTAAAAGTCACGCCTACCCAACCAGAATAGAAAAATAGTACCAAATGGCATATATGCCATTGCCACAAAGTGACAACAATCAATACATTCTGGAATCAAATTATATATCAATAACCTAAGCACTGTCAATTACTTCGATAAAAAAAATCCTAATAATCCACAGAGCTGAAATAAAGCATTTTTAATAGGGGATAAATGACAGAGTAGGGACCAGTTTTTTTGTATTTCTATCATAGCTGTTTCTCTTCATATGCTTGATGCAATATGTGTGTGTGTGTGTGTGTGTGTGTGTGTGTATCACATAGTAGTTCTGGATATTCAGCTTACAATTCAGGATTAGTTTCTTACCTAAAGAAAAATAATGAGGATATTCCACTGTTGTTTTGGGTTTTTTTAAGCATATCCAGAGAAGCAGTCCCAGTAGGAAATTATTTGGCAAGTCACTTGAATTTTTGGTGATTAGAGGATAAAGATCACTTGTACACAAACTTATATAAAACTTTATGTTCTGTGAGTCACTCCATGTGGCTTCATAGAAAAAAATAAAAAAATCCCAAACTGTATTTAACATGCAAAATGAGGTCATTGGCTCAGAATTATAGAGAAACAAATGGGAAAAGTCTTGTAGAAAAGTAACCCTTGCCTAGGATTCATGTGGTGTCTTCTGACAAGTGGTTCAAATTAGGGGATAACAGTTGGAACACCTAAAAATTACCGTCAAAAGTCTTCAGTAAACACAACTTTACATCATGGATGTTTTTAACCTCCTGACTCTTATCTATTTGTGTTCTTTAAAGCAATGTCAGGGTCAGAGATGGAGATTGGTAGATGAGTTGTAGTATTACATCAAACAGAGCCTACATAAACATATATACTACTTTCACTTCATTGATGTTCCGTGGCCTACACAAAATCATTGCCTTGTTGATTGATCCTGACCTAAGTTATCACAATCTGTTCTAACATACGTTCATTACATTTATATAAATGAAATATGAAAGGAATGATTTTTACAGGTCTACATTTTGTGCAGAAGAACAAAGTGCTTTAGCAGAGTTTTAGGTTTCCTCAGTTTGATTGCACAAAAGACAGCAAGGGAAAAAAAGGTTGGGCCATCATTTAGAGTTGACCTGCAACCATAAAGGAAACAAAAAAAACCCCACCTTCAAAATGTGTTTTAATTTGGGGGGTGTGGAGGTGTGGGGGTGTTGGTGTTTATCTTACTGGGTAAACTGAAAAATCTGGCTTCTAAAGGGCTGCCAGTTGTTAGGAATTGCCTGGGCAGTTCAGATACTGCCAGATGCCTGAGAGCAAGGCATATTTATACCAAAGACTTGAAAACATGATGGTGCTTTGGAAGATTGAGATTCTTCTGAAACTAATGGAAGTTTTGTGACATAGACCCGTACGTCAGACAAGAACTCTGTTCTTGCATTGTGTCTTTATCTAGTTACTTAAAAATGGTGATGTGTTAAAAAATCCTTTTAAAACACATTTCACATGTATAATTAAAAGCTATTTCAGTTCACAGACAGAAAAACTGAAGGCAGGACAGTAGCAGTCACACTGGAGTACAGTCACTTCAGGGGCAAGTAGCTTATGTTAAGCAGTCAGTAGTAGAATGATCCTCAATTTTGTTCATGCAAAGCTATCTAACACAGCAGACAGACTTACATAGATAAGTGAATGAATACATGCATACACATATACAAATGCATATGAGCTCTTTGGGTCTTTGTTATTTTACAACTGGGTCTACTTTTCATTTGTAATTTTTTTTCATGTTTCTTCATGAAAGGGACTTTGTTTTGTATTGTTTTCTTTTTCTCTTTGAAGGAGGAAAGAAGACATATTTCTGTATATACTCCACTTCACATTCAATGGTAAAAGAATTGTGATTTTCCAAGACAGATGTACAAGAAAAAAATGAGAAATGAAAGGGGAAAAACTGCATTAGAACTTGCAAACTTCAATTGTGATGTTCCGCAGAAATTGTTGTGCTCTACGGTTTTAGCCAAACTTTGCTCCTCATCCACAGAAGACCACAGAATTCTTTTAAAATCTGTAAAATTAGTTTTGTTTAAAATGTTTAAAGATACTAGTGAGTTTTAAGGGCTGCTAACTTTTGAGTATCCAGATAGACATCCCTAAAACAACCTGAATTAAAAAAAAAATAAAATTAGATGAAGCTGTTAAGTGAAAATGTCTCAAGTTGTAAAAATCTGTAACCAATGATAATACTTTTAAGAACGGAGTTATGAATATAGGGGGTTAACAATTCACTACATTATAAATAAAACCTTTGGCATCAATACCAGAAAAAGAAGAGCAGATAATAGAATGTTAAACAATGCCCTGCAGTTTTGCTTCACTTACTTTCACACAAATGATGTATTTACAAAAGAGGAGAACTAAATGCAAAATAACCAACCAAACAAAAATCATGCTATGTTAGATGTCTTGGCAGTGGAATTTGCTATTTCCAGCTCAGTACATACTGCAAATACCAGGATAAAATAATCTGTTCAGCACAGTTTGAATATTTTCACTTTTATTGTAGCGACAACCTTTGCCATGCAAATGAGAAAATGGTTGTGTTTTTTTTTTTTCCCCAGGTGATATATGAGGTAAGAGACGGTAAGAGGACAGACAGAAAAGCAGATATCTCATTTATTTCCGGACTGTTTGACAAACACTGGTTTCCCCCAAGTGCATGTTTTGAGGACTGATACTCCTCTCATCCCAGCAGCAGTAGCAAAACTGAGCCCAGACGTGGGAGATCCCTCTAGCTTCGGCTGCGCAACCCCTCCCGGAGGTTAACGCAAGGACTCCTACGTGCATGTGTGCAGCGGTTACAGGATCCTGATGGCTTTATCACCCTTGGGGCCTCCTCTTTGGTATGTCAGTGTCCTCCTAACCTGCAGCCACATGACGAAAATTAAACAAGAGTTTGTTGCATTTGTTGCTGTGGAAATATGAAGTTAGTTGCTTCAGTTTCAATGGGAATTCCCTCCTCCTCTCCCCCCC